TTTTAATTCATGACAAAATAAAAATAAAAATGAAAATCTTGCCAAAAAAATTAAAGTTTATAATTAACAAATAAAAATAGGGGTTGATCGTAGAGGGGTGAAAATTTCAGAGTAATATGAATTTTTTTATTCTACGTCATGACAAAATAAAAACAAAATTCTCGCAAAAAAATTTAGTTTTTAATTAGCAAATAAAAAATAAGGGTTGATTGTAGAGGGGTGAAAATTTAGGGTTGTATGTATTTTTGTATGTTGTATCATAAAAAAATAGAAATTAAAAATTTTGTCTAAAAAATAAATAAAAAAATTTAGGGGTGGACTACCCCTAACATTTAGGGGGATGAAAAATAGATGTTGGCCGATTCTCATAGATACCGGATAAGCACAAAAAATTTCATCAAAATCGGTCAAGCCGTTTCGGAGGAGTATGGCAACGAAAACTGTGACACGAGAATTTTATATATTAGATATAGATGTACCTACTCGTATTTTCAAACATTGATCCCATTAAAATCATTTTTTCAGACCACGCCGTCCCGCGCCATTGCCGTTCTATCCACAGAAACGATTAGAGGCAACATCACATTCACTCAGGTTCAAGATGGGAAGGTCCACGTTCAGGGGGGCATCACTGGGCTGCCTCCGGGTGAATACGGCTTCCACGTCCATGAGAAGGGCGACCTAAGCGGCGGTTGTGTATCGACTGGATCTCATTTCAATCCTGAACATGTGAGTTGATGAACTGACCAAGGGCGGATCCAGCTTTGGCGACAGGAGGGGGTCACAATTTTGATAACAATAGATACAAGTAAAAATCATTATGTTCAGTTAGTGGTCCACCTAACTCCTGGAACTTAGGGGGGGTCATAACTCCCATGACCCCCCTTTGGATCCGCCGTTGGTACTGACATTGCTATTTTTCGGTTTCCCGCTTCCAGGATTTGAATACCGCAAGTATAATCCTATAAGCCACGACCACTTTAATTATAAGCAGTCGAAACCGCTTTAGCATTTCAAGCTCATCAACATCTATTAGATACTTGGAAAGAAAAACCCAATTGATGCTATAACCTAATTAAAACCACAACTGGCCGCTGACCCAACCAAGAAAGTCTAAATATGTTATCTAAACCATTCGTAGTAAAAGTATTGTGAGAATTTATTAGAATATTCGTTATCAAAAAGATCGATTTGAGTTACTCCAAACACGGGTCACCGTTCTCGTCGTGCAGCCTGACCTATACACAAAGCCCACTGAGTTTCCCGACGGATCTTCTCAGTGATTCCCGATTCCGATCCGGTGGTAGATTCAACGAAGCACTGCTATTGCTAGGGCTAGTGTTGGCAAGCCCTCCCAGGCTGAACCCGTGAGCTTACCTACGAAACCATGCGTAGCTGAAATAGTACCTTCAGGCTACCAGTGATCAGATAAGGGTATAAAGGTAGAGTTTGTACTACAATGGTACAAACTAGATGTCGGGACCACATCAAACCATTCTATAATTTAGTTGTATAACCACCTTAGATGGGGATAAAGTATCAGGGAATCTAATTTTTTATTTATTTATTGCTTAGATAGGTGGATGAGCTCACCGCCCACCAGGTGTTAAGTGGTTACTGGTGCCCATAGACATCTACAACGTAAATGCCGCCACCGACCCTGAGATATAAGTTTTAAGTTCTGAGTATAGTTACAACGGCTACCCCACCTTTCAAACCGAAACGCATTACTGCTTCACACTGCGACAGAAATAGGCAGGGTGGTGGTACCTACCCGTGCGGACTCACATGAGGTCCTATCACCAGTATAAATCCAGGGATCCAAGGCTTGTTAATTCTTAAACGTCATAAACTTAAATTACAGAAGGACCACGGTCATCCGAATGATGTCAACCGTCACGTCGGCGACCTTGGAAACGTGGTCTTTGACGAGAACCACTACAGCAGGATCGACCTGGTAGACGACCAGATCTCGCTATCGGGTCCGCACGGCATCATCGGCAGGGCGGTGGTGCTCCACGAGAAAGCTGATGATTACGGCAAGAGTGACCATCCGGACTCCAGGAAGACCGGCAACGCTGGCGGTCGAGTAGCTTGCGGTGTCATCGGAATTCTATAGATCTACAAATTTCTCATTGAATTGTCTTATTTAATAAAATATATATATATGTATTTTTAAGTTCCGTTTCTCATTCGTATTTATTTATGTTAAGCAACTTGTTTACTGATTCAGTAGGTAACCAATCAAAACGCGAATCCCATCATTGATTTAATGGTGTGTGTGTGTGTGTGTGTTTGTATGTCTTTTTGGGATTGTACAGTATGTATACATTGGGATTGTACATGTGTCGTTTAATATTGGAAATAATATGTTTTCTTTATTATTGCTTAGATGGGTGGACAAGGCCACAGCCCACCTGGTGCTAAGTGGTTATTGGAGCCCATAGAAACTTTTTTTATTTTTATTTTTTATTGCTTAGATGGGTGGACGAGCTCACAGCCCACCTGGTGTTAAGTATAATTCGAACACCGGTGCATCGCTTCAACACGAATGCACCGGACGTCTTATCCGTTAGGCCACGACGACTACTAAATCTACAACAGAAATGCGCCATCCACCTTGAGACATTAGTTCTAAGGTCTCAGCTTCTACCACCAAGCTTCTGTAAGCACTTAAAATCTGTTATGTCTACTTAAAGTTTACATAATATAACGACTACTAAAATAGCAAAATTAAAAAATCGCAGCCTCTATGCAATAACAGATAAAGCATCCTATTTACATAACATAGAATAAATTATAACTATAATAATATATATATATCTCTTAAACATATAAATTTAAACCTAAGCATTAAATAAATAAAAGTCAAATTCGTAATTATCAGCACATCCTGGTCACGACTGTAAAATCAAATATTATACCTTGAACAGTTAATTGCGTTTAATTGGCACCAGTAATTTAGCCATGACAGCTGTTAGTATAAAATCTTTTAAACACGTTTTCATGGACTCACTGTCTTGTGTCTTGTTTGGATGACCTTTGTATGACGTATTAATAAAGGGAAAATCAACCACAGAGCGAGTGAAATGGTTCAGAAGACCGACGGTCTAGAGGTTATTGCTCGGAACTTGTATGCGAAATTTATCTTGACAATGTCGTTTAGCGCGGAACAAGTATCTGCAGGTATATGATGATATTGGGTACTTCGGAGTGAATAAACAATATTATATACAATTGCTGCGTTGTGGTGAATGAGAGTGGACTGTATTTATTTGTTTGATATCTTTATTAGTCCATAAGTGACAAATGAAAGATTTATGAATATATGAAATATGAAATCGATGTGTCGCCCTTGGCGGCTGGAAATGAAATAGTACATTGTGCACCCAGGGAGAAAAGTAGGACATTTCCTCCCGCGTGTAAAATGGCAAACACGTGGGATGAGATGTCCTACTTTTTTCCCGGGGTGCACATACGATTTTTTCTCCTAGCAGGCCGAAAGTTCGTGGAGTACCGAGCCGGGGTCTCGGGGCGAAGTCCTGGCCGGGGTTAGGGGGGGCGGAACTCCTCCTTACTCATAAAATAACAATTTAACTGTTTTTAAATTTTTAAATAAACTACTACTAATTGAATAAGAACTGTCTGATGAACTCATATTTGTTTAATACTTCACTATTAAATTTTATTGCCTTTTGTTTATTTCACTTTTACACTAAACACAATATTGCAAATTACCCGAGCTCAACAATGGCGGAGAATTTTAGGTGCGTGAGAGCAGACGAATCGTCACGAACTATGAAAATGGCGATACGCGCGTTACCTTCGCAATCGTCGGCGCAACTGGGCAAACGAATGTGTGGGAGACTACGCGAAGGGTCGCGGTTCGCGCGCTTTGATGTCTGTTAAAAAACCGACACAGCTTGGAAAACCACAAATGCAGCGAAAACTTTGCATAATCATTTGCAAATGTCGTCCCACACTTGCGGGTTTGCGTATTCGTGCGCATGTGAGTGACCGGTATCAGAGAACACAAATTATGTATCTCACAGATCACAAATGATGTATCTCATAGATCACAGATTATGTATCTCACAGATCACAAATAATGTATCTCACAGATCACAAATTATGTATCTCACAGATCACAGATTATGTATCTCACAGATCACAAATTGCAGATTTATCCCACCCACCAACATTGTCACTAGACGCGTGCAGTGCTAACATTAGCAACAGGCATAGGATCCCTGGTAACCTTACTTGTCGAGCTCGCCAAAGAGCTCGAAATGCAACTTAGCCTGCTGAGTTTCTCGCCGGATATTCTCAGGGGGTCGCAATTCAGATCCGACATTAAATGCATTCGCGAAGCATCTGCCATTGAGGTCTTCATCGGTGGCGCTCGCAAAATCTCACCCCTCTTGGCTGGGCTTCTGCTTGCCCACCAGTCCTGGTGAAACTGGATAGGCATCCGGGCCACCAGTAATAATACCCCCTTCCAATAAAAAAAGAACTGAAAGGATTTTAATGATTTGGTAAAATTAGCCTAGTTATATAATCTGACTACAGTTTTGTTATTGGCGTCTTTGGATTGGATTTTCTTTGTTTAGAAATGTATTTCCTCATTTAAGTTTTAATTTGGAATTTTCTCGCAAATAATATTATTCAATTGCAAGCATAAACACTTAAAACATATACATGACATAAAACAGTCCTTGGGAATCAACATAGGCTGCTATTATAATAATTATACACTCAACATATGGAACTTTCTCTCCATATAAAGCGTAAGATACACTCACAGTGCTTTTGTACTACAAATTACTATCCCAAATTGTTGTGATTAGTCCATTGGCAACGTTGCTAATAAGCAAGGCGATCGGAAAACCTTATTAATGTTTTTTGTATTGTTATTATCCAGGACCACACTTCATATAACAAGTAATAATAAAATCTGAAGCCAATGAACAATAAGCTTAATATAATAATTGGTTTTGTATAGTTTAGACTTTAGTACATTATGTTTCAATGTCGAGGGTGATGTGGGTAAGCATAGTCTTGTGAGCATAGAAGAAGCAATATGAACTGCAACATGGCGGACTTGAGTGTTAAATGCGCGAAAATTTTACTGATAACACTTAATTTATTATGCATTGTAAGTTAGTTTAACTTTATAGAATTACAAGACGAGATTTTTCATAGTGAATTCTTTTTTTTTGGACTCCACGCAAATGTACACAACTTATACAGCCAATCGTACAAATTAAAAAGTATTTTACCTACCTTTAATATGTCTTGAACCTATGGATTTTCTATTTTAGAATACTGGCCATTTCGAACGTAATTTATGTATGGCTGGCAATAAAGTCTAAATTCACATACTTATACCGAAAAAAATGTTTATGCGTCCAATATATTTGTAGTTACCTACAATTTCTAGCTATAGTATTTTTTATCACTAATTACTTCAAACGCATGGCATTATGTGTATGTAATTATTGAGTATGATCAGTGTATTGTCACATATTTTAAATCTAATGACATTACACGCACTTATTGGACAAATTTTGTAAAATTTGTGTGACAAATGACAGTAGTCCTTTTTACTATTGACCAAGAAATATGAATGTTCCGCTGTGCGAGCTCTGAGCAAATTTGAGATAACCCGCGATCCCCTCCGTACCTTTTTAGCACCTTTTTCATCTCTTTATATGTTGAATTAACTCCCACCCCGGTGTTTCCTGAGCGTTACGACATGTCTTCCTCCAAATAATTAGAAAATCCTAAACGATAGCCACAGAAGTTGAGCATTAGGCAGCTTCAATTGAAAAAAAACGGGAATATACGGCTTGGTTATCTCCCTGCCTGTCACTGTTTGCCCACCTTCAGTCCTTGTTTAGTCATCACCATATTGTTTCTCTTTATTCTCATTATATTTCTGTATTCAATCAGTCTAATAAATCTTATCCCTACCAATCCAAGTCAAGAAGTGTTAGGGAAGACCCGTTGTTCACTGTGGACCTAGACCGGTTAACGAAACCGTCAAGTGGGAATTGGGAATATTTTTCGAAAGAACGAATTTCTATTTTCAGTTTTTGGCACTTATGACATTTGTGTTTGCCGTGGTCGATACGAGGATCCTAACGCAGTACGGTGCAGAGCAAGCCAGCGGTTCGTTTATAGGAGATGTAGTTGTCAGCGTGGCCAGTGTGCTGGTGATGACAGTTGCTGTACTCGGAATCATTGGCGTCGTAAAGAGCAGCATCAAAATTATCTACTTGGTGAAGTTCATTTATAATTTTAAGAAAGCATTTTATGTTGATATTGGAATTACTATTTGAAGTCGAATCTCATTGATTTTTGTGCAAAGCAAAGCCTCCGTCGCCTAAAACATGTCTTATTGGATCCTCCGGATCCACTCTCGGTGCATTTAGGCTCTTCAAGCACTGGTCACCGTCCACGTCAAACTCGTCGACTCCGATCAAGAAGAGTTCGACGTGTAGCCCATAGACACAACCCACTGAGTTTCTCGTCGGATCTTCTCAGAGGATCGCGATTCCGATGCGGTAGTAGATTCAGCGAAGCACTGCACTTGCTAGGGCTAGTGTTAACAATTCTCTCAGTTCGAGCCCGTGAGCTCACCGGTCTACCGGTCCGGATGAAGTTGGAATAGCCCCCTTAGGCTACAAATAATGAAGTAGGAAAAAATTTTTTTTCACTGATTTCCATCCTTTTTTAGTACATACTACGCGTTTCTGGAGATAAAAATTTTTTCGTTAGTTGTCTGATATCAACTTCTTCGCTATTGATGGAAGTCCTAACTTTTAAAAGCTAACCATATTTAAAATTTCCTTAATTTTCTTACTCTTTAATCGTGCATAATTTCATCAATATTATTCGGGAGACATATCAGCTTTTACCGCTTTTACCGGTAGGGCATTCTTATCATACATATTACCGTGGCAATGTAATAAGAAGGCCGGTTTGATTAGAGTAGATCTACACCAAAAAAAGAAATAATTTGTTTACATTCTATTTATTCACAGTACGTTGGATTCCTCATGCTCTTGACGGTCTTGGAAGTTTTAATAGGAATTTACGTGTCGATTCAACGTTATGGTCTTCAATTCCGGGTCGGTGAATGGATACGCGAGGAATTCTATAGAAACGTCACTGGCGCAAGCAAGGAGGCCCATCGGAAACTCTGGGAAAGAATCCAGATCAACGTGAGTTACTCTTGGTAGTGATTCAGCTTGCCTTTTCGCTCTGGTAAAGGTCACTGGAGTAAGAGCAACCCTATTATCCCAAAAAAGATTGGAACGCGCACATCCCATAGGAGAATATGCTATTGTTGTTTTCATCGCCTTTTATCATCATTGCATCTTTATTGACTAAAGAAGCAGGAAAGTAATTAATACCGACTCTAGAAGACGACCAGTCTTCAGCTCTGATAAACTTAGAGACATTCCTTCCAGCCTTATGTATTTTGGGTTTTATGACCCAGTGTTGAGGGGTAATGGCCCACTCACTCCTTGATATCTGAAACCCAACTAAACCATCGGTAAAGCCAAATGATCCCGAAATCGTACCCTGCTGATAAGAAAACCTACTTTATACCGACTACTGTATTTTATAAGGTGGAAGTACTAAATAATATTTTAAATAGTTCTGAATCTTGTCTCTGTCTCTTCATATAATTTTTGCTTTTCAAACGATGTGTTTGTTCACAATATCGAAGATTATTTGCGCCTGGGCGCACCATCAGTACTAGCACTGCTTTGCGTTTATAGAAATGGCTCCAATACTCTTGGCTCTAATAATTTTTGTTTGACCATTACTGTGCCAAACCCGTTTACCATGTTTTCATGTTTCATGTCATCGTGTTGTCGAAAGGAATGTCCCATGGTTTTCGTGCGACAGCAAATCAGCCTAATTTAATTATTTTTTTATAGTATCAATGTTGCGGACTGAATGGGCCCCAGGATTACACAGCAATGGACCAACCCATCAGCCTGTCGTGTTGCTACCAAGCTTACCAAGCTACTACTCTCGAAGCGGAGCAGAAGATGTACAAAACTTGCATTGAGTATGTGTTTTCCAGTATGCTTCCAATACCTGGTACTGTTAAGGTAGCTATCACAGAAAGACATTTAAAAAAAAAAGCCTAAATCGTGCTGACGACATTTCCTAGACAGGCTGACGAAACAACAGTAGTTCAGTATCATAACATAAATGTTACCACATAGACAGTAATTAATCCTCAATAAGAACCGCCTGCAGTTGGCGGAATCTCCCGCGTCTCTCAAGACCGATGCTATATATATTTTGATCGAGATGTGATAGCTGGAGAGCCCATCTCGTATTCGTTATTTTAACATATGTGCTACCTGTGCTACCTTGACAGTGAGGACCTTGAGGTGAAAGTATCAATGATATTATTATTATTATTATTTTATTTATTGCTTAGATGGGTGGACGAGCTCACAGCCCACCTGGTGTTAAGTGGATACTGGAGCCCATAGACATCTACAACGTAAATGCGCCACCCACCTTGAGATGTAAGTTCTAAGTTCTTTGTATAGTTACAACGGCTGGCCCACCCTTCAAGCCGAAACGCATTACTGCTTCACGGCCGAAATAGGCGGGGCGATGATACCCACCCGTGCGGACTCACAAGAGGTCCTACCACCAGTAAATATTATATAACATATTATAAAATTATACTACAAACAAACTATATAATACAAACAGGAGCGCACGGCTGCATCATGGCATAATTGGGATTAATCCTTCACCGCATTGACGGGCGTAACTAAACAAACTAATGAATGTTTTTTTTTTATGTTTAGAACTTCAAGCTATTTCCGCGAGGGCTGCGAAGATGAAATCCTCGGAATCTTAGCGGCTGATGCTGATTATCTTCTTGGAGTGGCCGTAATCAGTTTTTGGTTTGAGGTCACTGCGATTATCTTATTGTAATCAATCGGTTACGAAGCCAAGTTTTGAGTCTGCGCATATTCTTTTACTCATTTTGAAAACATTGGAAATGAAAAATTTACCGTTAAGCATAGCCAAGCCGTTCATAGCGTACGTTTCCGTTAGTGAACGAGCTCGCGGCTTACCAGACATTAAGCGTAAACTCACAGACATCACCACTGCCGCTACCTACCTTGTTGGCATCGTTATAAATCTCATTTGTATTATGTTTGTCCCATCCTTCAAACCACGCACGACGGCTTCATAATGAACAGGAAATTATATCTACCCGTACGGGCTGGCACGCCTTTCCAGCAACGATTTCAACGTGATTAAAGTTTTACATGATCATATGTCTGTACCATGAAAGACGTTAATGGAAATAAGTGTTTATAGAATAATAGGATATTAGAGCGGGATTTGTACGTATTTAAGGTGTAGCCTTCAAATCCCTTTAGAAACGATTAGACTAGAATTGATTATTACTGGTACTAGGACCTCTTGTGAGTCCGCGCGGGTGGGTACCACCACCCCTGCTTGAAGCAGTAATGCGTTCCGGTTTGAAGAGTGGGGCAGCCTTTGTAACTATACTTGAGACCTTAGAACTTTATATCTCAAGGTGGGTGGCGCATTTACTTTGTGGATGTCTATGGGTTCCAGTAAACACTTAACACCAGGTGGGCTGTTAGCTCATCCACCAATCTAGTCAATAAAAAAAAAAAAAAAATTTTTATCTGGCGATGACGACTGGGTTGAATAAAATAGAAATCTGGCGATGAGGACTGGGATGATCAGATGTATCGTAGACCCATCTGCCGATGGATTTTAACATGAGAGCCACAGGATATTGACGGCATTCACTATAAGCCACGTAATACGAACTGTTTAAAGTTTAATCGCTATTGATTGCAGGCGGTGGGCATGCTTCTGGCTATGTGGGTCGCGAATCAACTGAAGAATAGCGTTCGCGTTTATAAGCACACAGTTAAATATTAAAAATAAATTTTGAGTTAATAAAAAATTTAATACGTATTTCATTTATTATTAAATTCTTTTCAGTAAGGAAAGGAACGCCAATTCAGAATAATAAATGGATAAAAATACAGAGTAAAACAACATTTTTATTGTGCTTTAGACGGGTGAGTTCACGGTCCTTCTGATGTAAAGTAATTACTGGAACCAGAAGATATCAACAACGTATATGCTATCTTCCACCTAGAAATGATTTCTAAGTCTCCGTTCGCGGCAGGAGTAAGCAGGGTGGTGGACTCTATCTGTGCGAACTCCCAAGACGCTCTAGTTTGAAGGCAGCGGCTTGGCTCTGCCCCTGGCATTGCTGAAGTCCATGTGTAAGCACTCACCATCAGGTGGGCCGTATGCTCGTCTGCCTACAGGGGCAATAAAAAAAAACCTTCGCTTCAACTATTTTTGAAGCAAATTTTGGTTTCAACTAGTATTCTTATGATCGAAATACGATTATAATCATTGATGCCTCAAAATTTAAATTCATTTAATGTATTTATTACATTTTCTCTTACGTATTTTTATTGAAATTTAAAAGAAAGAAAACCTACTAATTGCAATATTTTTATTGTTAACACTAATGACTAAATGATAATAAAAAATAAAAAATAATAAATAAGCCTTTATTACTGTTTTACTTAATAAATTACTTAATAATAACTTAAATTGAAATCTAACTTATAGTTAAGTATTCCGTACAGCGTTCGGTGTGGTTTTCAAAACAGCTTGTCTCTCGACAAAGGCTCCTCTAAAGATATCCAATATTCTCTATTTTTGACAATTCGACTTCAATGTAGGCCGGCTTATTTCATCTCGGACTAAACAATACAATATTCGTAAATAGTTAGTTACTGGATAAAAAAAAAAGAAAATCGGTTGAATAACAATGTATAATGGTACTTAACAATAAATACAATGGTATTTAACTTTTTTTGTTTTTACCTATTTATTTTTAGATACTAAACTATAAATAGAAAGAAATAGCTTCTAAACACAACATGACTATGTAGGTCTATGCATGAAGCCCATCCATCAATCGATTAGCTTATGCCAATGACACCAGTATACCGATCGATTGACACTTTAGGCTACGTCAACTTCGTAATTTTAAATGCCATTGTGGTTTATTAAAAATTTTTTTTTTGCTTAGATGTGAGGACGAGCTCACATCCCACCTGGTGTTAAGTGGTTACTGGAGCCCATAGACATCTACAACGTAAATGCGCCACACACCATGAGATATAGTTCTAAGGTCTCAGTATAGTCACAACGGCTGCACCACCCTTCAAACCGAAACGCATTACTGCTTCACGGTAGAAATAGGCGGGGCGGTGGTACCTACCCGTGCGGACTCACAAGAGGTCCTACCACCAGTAATTACGCAAATTATAATTTTGCGGGTTTCATTTTTATTACACGATGTTATTCCTTCACCGTGGAAGTCAATCGTGAACATTTGTTGAGTACGTATTTCATTAGAAAAATTGGTACCCACCAGGGGGATTCGAACACCGGTGCATCGCTTCAACACGAATGCACCGGACGTCTTATCCGTTAGGCCACGACGACTTCAAAATGTGTTAATAAAAGCCATATTTTCATTTCAGAAGATAAAGTTATTCTCAGTTTTTTTATACAGCGATCTTACGAAGCAGAAAGTAGTTATAATAACTTGGTACAATTGAAACTAGCCTTTTTGGTTACAGTTTTTGAGGTCACGGATGACCAGTCTGCAGTCTGTAATATGAGTACAACAAAAAGCGCGAGATTAAATCATAAAAGTAGTTTCAGTTTTATCTCTACGACTCGTGAAAACAGAAGAAAATACTATAAATATTTGAATGTGTGAAGTTATTATGGCGGTCATCTTACGTGCTGGTAAATCTACGGATAAAATTTAAAAAATACATTAAAACTTTTAAACTAAACTCTTTTTATTTAATTTTGTGTTTTCCTCGGAAATGAAAAGCACATCAGATTAATTCAACCAAAGAAACGCGGTTAGATTTAGTGAGTTTTTAATGAGGTGTTAGGACATTACTTTAAAGTATTAACCCCCGTTAACAGATTGTCGTCACAAATCAAGTTTTTTAGGCAATACGAATTGTAGATAGACGTAAATAATATAGAGCCTGGCTTAATCTATGAATATGTGACCTTTAAAATACCCTTTAGTCGAATCTACCAATTTTACTAAAAACTATGATTGATTTTCTATCGTCATTATGGGTTAAAGGATAAGACAGCCAATGTACTTGTTTTTTTATATTTGAGAGATTACTGGTGGCCTGGAGGCCTGGAGGCCTTTTCAGTTTTACCAGGGCCGGTGAGCAGGGTGGAGAGCAAGGGCTCAGCCAGGAGGGGGGATTTGCTAACAGCTACCCGAGCGCCTCCAAAGAAGACCGAACAACTCAAGAGTAGCTGCTTCGCAAATGAAACTACTACCGAATTGAAATCGCGACCCGCTGAGAAGATCCGGCGAGAAACTTAGCGGGCTGATGTTTAGGTTAGGTTGCATGTCGAACTCTTTGCCGAGTTCGACGAGTACGGTTACCGGGGTCCTTAAGCCGGCTCCTATTGTTAGAGCTAAAGGAGTCTAATGTAAGGGTCATTGGATCTGATGGATCCGCAAGGACGTGTCTAGGGTGTCGACGGTGACTGGCTCCTGCGTGATCAGGTAGGAATGGATAACCTGTTTTAGAATCAAATTGGAAAGCTTATTTGTGTAATTACTGGTGGTAATGCTTACTGGAGTGTGTGACCCTCGTGCGAGGTACATACCTCCAGAGAGGCCACTAGAAGTCGACCTTATGTTCCAAGTAAGCACTTATCACCAGATAAGCCGTGAGGTAATTGACCCATTCACTCGTGTCGTTTATTGATCAAGCGGACAGTATGTTTGTAAGCTTCCAAATTCAATGAAATATACATTCTCTTAGCTGTGCGGGATTGCGTTTATAAAGACACTAGCGACCCGCCCTCGCTTCGCTTCGGAAACATTAAAAGACACATGAAACCAAAAAAAAGTAGCCTATGTTCATCAGGGACAATGTCGGCTTCTAATGGAAAAAGAATTTTTCAAATCGGTCCAGTAGTTTCGGAGCCTATTCGAAACAAACAAACAAACAAATCTTTCCTCTTTATTATAATATTAGTATATTAGTATAGATATAGATATTACCTTTCCGATGACGTAATACATCGTAATAAGTTTAGTATTTTGCGGGTATTTAACACGGCGACATGCAAAGTTTTGAATAAAATAATGAAATCGATAGCTATCTGAATACGCGCTGCTTTTCAAATAATTAAAAGTACAGGAAAGTGACCTGAAAATGTTTCCAAAGAAATTTGTTCTTTATTTGGTTTTGAAATAAAGCAATTATTCCTGTAGAACGTTCTGGAAACATAAAGCGGGTTATATAAGTACCGCGTTATACGAAACTGTGTTTTATAATAAAGCATTAAGGGTGTCTACTTAGAGCGATATAATAATTGTCGAGGAGCGAAACAAAGACAAGACTAAGGCCCTGACGAATGTGTAGGTGGACATATGTATTCCCACGCTCCAATTACTAGGAGTGTGCTTTAAGCTACAAGGGATATCAAGCGATTTTACTAGAACGATAAACGTCGCAATTATCATGCATATTTTATAGTCCAACATAACAAAAATAAGCCCCCTATAATTAGTCTCCTAAAAATAAGCCAGGGAATAGAGTCGAGTTCTCCCGGCTATGTCGCATTACAGTTATAATAATTAAATTAACTTTGCTATTGGTAAAATTTCAATTTGTTATCAAAGTCTATTTACAATTGTATTTTAAGTGACTATTTTTAAAAATGCCTGCATAATTAACGAGTGTATGAATCTGGGTTTACTGAATTACTAATTATTAGGAGAGATTTCACATTAAAGTGGCTATGGGCCGATATACATATCCCTATGATATGTATATCGGCATGCATGGGCCTAACATTCATACCGCGAAGTAGCGAAACCATTTAAAATCATATTGGGAAATTAAATTTGTACTGGTGTTGTTAATGACTTAATTTAACAAGAACTGGACGAACATGGGGGAGTCAGATGCGTTGTGACGTGTGCTGATTGCTGTTTTTGATTTTATGTGTGATGGTCTTTAATGGGGGCCTATCCGGGTATTATAACTGCCCCGTAGCTATGCATTCTGCCTAACAGTCAACAAAAACGACTTTGCCTTCGAAGGCTTTTTAAAGCAAATAAGAAACAGCTACATCGATGAGTCTTAACATAACGTGGCCATTGCCACCGCCGTCTATGACTTTACCCACACGCTCGGTAATCACTGGTTTAGTCGACAAATGCATTGATCGATATAAGCCCTAGAGGCCCTCACTTCCTGAGTTCACCTGCTGTACGCCGGTCTTTTCACAATTTCAGGCAGCAAAGGACTAAAGATGAAACCTCGCTCTATACGCTGCATGAAGTTTTTTCTGACGCTCTTCAATGTGATTTGCATCGTGAGTGATTATTTGCTAACGTTAATTGGTTTTATGGGTTGATTTGGTTACTTGTAATTGTGTGCTAGAAGGGTTGTAGAAAACTTATTATCCCAAAAAAAAACGTAGATTTTTCTGTGAAGCCATAATGAATCATTTTACATTACATAAACGTAAAGTGGTCTTACAATTGAATTATTCGTTGCCAAATAACCGTACTTTAAGTAGTAGTGATTAAGTGTAGTATTTATTCTTTTGAATAGGTCTTTGGTTTGATTTTGATGGCCATTTGCGTCATTAATATGCGCGACAAGAAGAATCGTCCGGATCAACAATCGGCTTTGTCAAGAGGTGTGCTGTCATTCCTCTTAACTCTTGGTTTCTGTTTGGCTGTAACTGGTGTTTTGGGCTGCGTCGGTGCTTTGAGAGAGCACGTTAAAGTTCTTTATGTGGTGAGAATTATTTAGTGAATTTCTAAATTTTTATTTTGATGTACTTTGCTGTGGTTAAATTTTTTGTTTGGGATTTTTTTTATTTCGTTTGTAGCATGCTTGCTTCTTCATATTCCTGGTATCAGTCGAGCTGGTGGTAGGAGTCGGAGGAGCGGTCCTCAGCGCTTGGGTCGGCGGGAGCAACGAACTACGAATGCAATTTTACAAAAACGCTACCGTGGAAGACGAAGTATCGAAACATCACAATTTCTGGGACAGCTTACAGTCCGAGGTAAATTCAGATCGAATTCGATCAAAATAATTATTAATAAATTTAGTTTGCTTTTCTAATTTTGGAAGGTTACGTTTTTGGCTGTGATACTAAACGTTTGTAAGACTCGCGTTCCAAAGCCATGAAAGAAATACACAGATTACAGTAGTTCACTTAATTCTGTATTGCTTTATTTGTAACTCCACTTGTACAATCTTTAGATATCTGCTCACTACTGAATACACTGCTTTCTGTCTCGTTTTTTCAGACTACCGCCTTTTTTATTATGTCACGTCCCCACTACTGTAATTGCTCCCACCAACAGTGTTGCTATTTGGCAATCCGAAAATTGCCTTAATATTAACAAATTTAATTATTTTAAAACTAACCTTACACGTTTTTGTCAGAATAAATGTTGTGGCGTGGACGGTCCCCAAGATTACGCCATACTGCATCGAGACATTCCGGCCTCATGCTGCGCCAGAGCCTATCCTCTCCGCGAGGGTGGAGCCCGTCGTCATTTGTACGCTACCTGTATTTCCGAAAGGACATACTACAAGGCAGGTTGCGAAGAGGCTCTCCGACAGAAGAAAACCATGAAAGGGAACATTTTTATTAGTACAGGAATCGTTTTCGCTTTATTGGAGGTACGTGTAAAAATATTTTTAGTTTCAAAATTACATGATCATTTTTATAATATAGACTAGCTGTGCCCGTCCGCTGCGCTGGGCATTTAAAATTAACACTTTTATTTCACCCTCATAAAGATTCTCATCATTAACGCCCTCGCAACTGGTGTAGGGAGTCCAACACTCATATAAATATTAGCCTATCCATTAAATATATGTATTTTCTACATGGATACCAAGTCAAGTCAATCGGATGCATGGTTCAGTAGTTATAACGGAACATCCGTAAAAACCACTGTAGATTTATATATTAGTATAGATAAATACACCAATAAACGTTTACCATTAGGTAACATTGATCTCAAGGGGCAGTGCTAGTCTTTTACAATATCGTTGATTGGTTGGTTCCAAATTGTACAACCAAATTAAAAGTACTTAGTTGTTAAAATGGTGCTTTATTTACATTTGATAGTCATTAAAAAATACCTTTTTCAACCAATCCACAGTAGTTTCTTAGTCTCGATTAATTAACTTCTTCATAGCACACTTACCTGATACTCGTTTGATGTCTTTGGTCAATTGTATCCGTATAAGAATAAATCTTTTGTTTGAAATAAGGAAGTAAGGTAGGTAAGGTATTTAAGGTTTGTATCAGCTATAATAAACTATCGGATCAACCAGAAATTGAATGATTGACTACGTGAAATAAAAGATAATGCATTAAGAATTACTAGCGACCCGCCCTCGCTTCGCTTCGGAAACTGTAATTTATTATTGATTTACCCACTATTTAATGGATGTTATTATACATATAAACCTTCCTCTTCAATCACTCTATCTGTTAAGAAAAACCGCATCAAAATCTGTGGTGTAGTTTTAAAGATTTAAGCATACATAGGGATATAGGGACAGAGAAAGCGACTTTGTTTTATACTATGTAGTGAAGTAGCATTCTTTCTATTCATTCTGTAACACTCCAAATATGTTTGTATTTGGAAAATTAAAAAGAAACACGTTCACCTCAAAATTTCTTACTGAGCTTAACTCATGCATACGATTTTAAACTATTTGTTTGTTTTACAGATATTCTGCATTGTCTTGGCTTTGTGGATGGCTAGAACTATAAGAGTCGAACGTCGGAAGCTACAACAAAATTTACAAGCACATTTCGAAACATAAAACTGGTCTTGTTCAGTCCATACTACGTTGTCACAATATTCAATTTTTTATGATTAAAGGGAGTTTTAGCTGTTAATGGAAAAGTGCTTAGGCGTTTATTCGCATGCATACTCACACGCTATTGTTTTTAGGAATACATTTTTGTTGTTTGCCAATGGTATTGGTGTCAACTCTATTCATAGTGTATTCTATTTTGGTCTGCCATACGGTAGTTTAATGTTATCTAGCTTCAAAGCCTCACTCACTATCTTTGTGTGATTCGTAGAATAAGACACTTATATTAAAATTCGATTCCCTATTATCTTTTAATTAATATTATTGCATTTAAGGTTTTTAGAATTTAGAAGACTGTCAGATTTGGAATGTAAGGAATTTTCACGTGTTCACATGTCTTTCAAGGAAATTTTATTAAGCATCATTTTATGAGGTTGTTAGATTTCATTCTTATTACTAAGTAAGATTAATTTGATAAAATATACCACGTTACCAACGAAGAGTTAGAACTTTATTTTCACCATTTAAGCCTACAATGTAGAAATGGTAATTGCACAGCGTGACGTTTTGTTATTTTTTGATTTTGCTGTCATCTTTTGACAACAAAATTCCCTTCATTGGGAATAGTAGTAATACTTTGGGTTTTGATAAATCAGGATATGAATTGGTGAAAGCGTCACTCTTTCCCATTTTTATTTGAGTCACTCTTATAAGAAGGTGATTTATCACCTTTTTACAAGAGTGACTCAAATAAAAATGGGAATTGGAGAAATGTCGACAAATTCTTTAACAATGAAATGTTTGTAGTTGAGTTTATCAGTTAAGTTCACAGAATTCTATTCACGACCACTCTTATCGTATGCGTACGAGTTCTTCAACTAGTTTCTTTGATCATTCGATAAAATTAAGATTAGATCTTGCAATCATTCCCATTTTAAAATTAGAAAAAAAAAATAGTTAAGTTTGGCCGGTACGTAGAGAGATGTAAATGTTTTATGTTGTAGTTTTTATTGTTTTATTTGTATTTTTTTTAATATATTCCGTTCATCTAGAAAGTCTTATAAATCCTTCATAATTTTCGCCATTTCACTGACACGATTATCGAAGTTTCATAAAATATTTAAGATTTTTTGGGGTAATAATTCGGCTATGTCACTTTTTCATCAGTTGAAAGTTCAAGCAAATGAAGATTACTTTTAGATAGCGATAAAATAACTAAATGTTACACAAATACCACTAGCTAATGACTGTGATATAAAAGTAGAGATTTATTTTGCTCTTAAATTCAGCTGAAATTGGGTCCAATTAATTTTAAGGTGTCATTACAGGGCGATACCATACTTACAATACGGTACAGTACAGTTGAGTGCAGTAGTGGTACCCTATATTGCAGTTAGAAATAGTTTAATGAAGCACTGGGTCCAATTAATTTTAAGGTGTCATTACTAGGCGATACCATACTTACAATACGGTACAGTACAGTTGAGTGCAGTAGTGGTACCCTATATTGCAGTTAGAAATAGTTTAATGAAGCACTGGGTCCAATTAATTTTAAGGTGTCATTACNGTTGGAGGAGGCCTATGTCTATAATAGACAAACAGACAATAACTAATAATAACATAGGTAAAAAAAAAAAAAAGCTTCCAAATTTTTTTTTAACTAATATTAATACCACTACTTACTTAAAACATAGTAAAAAAAAATAATTATTGTATATGTAAAAAAAAAAAAAAATGTAATTGTCTGAATAAAGGCTTTATTATTATTATTATTATAGATAAAGACACCAATAGACGTTTACCATTAGGTAACATTAAGCATTGATCTCAAAGGGCAATGCTATTCTTGTACAATATCGTTGATTGGTTGGTTCCAAATTGTACAACCAAATTTAGAGTAGTTGTTAAAATGATGCTTTATTTACATTTGATAGTCATTAAAAATTACTTTTTTCAACCAATCCACAGTAGTTTCTTAGTCTTGATTAATTAACTTCTTCATAACACACTTACCTGATACTCGTTTGATGTCATTGGAAAATTGTGTCCGTATAAGAATAAATCTTTTGTTTGAAGTAAGGAAGTAAGGTGGGTAAGGTATTTAAGATATGTATCAGATATAAGAAACTTTCGAATCAACCAGAAATTGAATGATTGACTACGTGAAATAAAAGATAATGCATTAAGAATTACTAGCGACCCGCCCTCGCTTCGCTTCGGAAACTGTAATTTATTATTGTTTTACCCACTATTTAATGGATGTTATTATACATATAAACCTTCCTCTTCAATCACTCTATCTATTAAGAAAAACCGCATCAAAATCTGTGGTGTAGTTTTAAAGATTTAAGCATACATAGGGATATAGGGACAGAGAAAGCGACTTTGTTTTATACTATGTGGTGAGTGGGGTAGCATTCAGTTTGTATTCATTCTGTAGCACTCCGAATATGTTTGTATTTAGAAAATTAAAAAGAAACACGTTTACCTCAAAATTTCGTTATTGAGCTTTAACTCATGCATACGATTTTAAACTATTTGTTTGTTTCACAGATATTCTGCATTGTCTTGGCTTTGTGGATGGCTAGAACTATAAGAGTCGAACGTCGGAAGCTACAACAAAATTTACAAGCACATTTCGAAACATAAAACTAGTCTTGTTCAGTCCTTACTACGTTGACACAATATTCAATTTTTTATGATTCAAGGGAGTTAGCTGTTAATGGAAAAGTGCTTAGGCGTTTATTCACTATGTAAACTCACACGCTATTGTTTTTGGGAATACATTTTTGTTGTTTGCCAATGGTATTGGTGTCAACTCTATTCATAGTGTATTCTATTTTGGTCTGCCATACGGTAGTTTAATGTTATCTAGCTTCAAAGCCTCACTCACTATCTTTGTGTGATTCGTAAGATAAGACAATTTTATAAAAAATTCGATTCGCTATATCTTTTAATTAATATTATTGCATTTAAGGTATGTAGAATATCAAAGACTGTCAGATTTGGAATGTGAGGGATTTTCACGTGTTCACATGTCTTTCAAGGAAATTTTATTAAGCATCATTTTATGAGGTTGTTAGATTTCATTCTTATTACTAAGTAAGATTAATTTGATAAAATATACCACGTTACCAACGAAGAGTTAGAACTTTATTTTCACCATTTAAGCCTACAATGTAGAAATGGTAATTGCACAACGTGACGTTCTGTTATATTTTGATTTTGCTGTCATCTTTTGACAGCAAAAATCCCTTCATTGGGAATAATAATACTTTGGGTTTTGATAAATCAGGATATGAGTTGGTGAAACCGTCACTCTTGTAAGAATGTAATTCACCTTCTTACAAAAGTGACTCTGAGGTGAATTATCATCTTCTTACAAGAGTGACTCTAGTAAAAATGGGAATTGGAGAAATGCCGACAAATTCTATTACAATGAAACCTTTGTAGTTGAGTTTATCAGTTAAGTTCACAAAATTCTATTCACGACCACTCTTATCGTATGCGTACGAGTTCTTCAGCTAGTTTCTTTGACCGTTTGATAAAATTAAGATTAGATTTTGCAATCACGCCCATTTTAAAATTAGAAAAAAAATATAGTTATGTTTGGCCGGTACGTAGAGAGATATTTTATGTTGTAGTTTTTATTGTTTTATTTGGTTTTTTTTTAATATTTTCCGTTCATCTAAAAATTCTTATAAAATCTTCGTAATTTTCGCCATTTCACTGACACGATTATCGAAGTTTCATAAAATATTTAAGATTTTTTGGGGTAATAATTCGGCCATGTCACTTTTTCGTCATTTGAAAGTTCAAGCAAATGAAGATTACTTTTAGATAGTGATAAAATAACGAAATGTTACACAAATACCACTAGCTAATGACTGTGATATAAAAGTAGAGATTTATTTTGCTCTTAAATTCAGCTGAAATTGGGTCCAATTAATTTTAAGGTGTCATTACTGGGCGATACCATACTTACAATACGGTACGGTACAGTTGAGTGCAGTAGTGGTATTGCAGTTAAAAATAGTTTAATGAAGCACTGGGTCCAATTAATTTTAAGGTGTCCTTACTGGGTGATACCATACTTACAATACGGTACAGTACAGTTGAGTGCAGTAGTGGTACCCTATATTGCAGTTAGAAAAAGTATAATGAAGCACAGAATACTATTTTTATTCTATTGCTAATGTTCGCTTGTTTTACTTTATAATTGTTTTATGAAAATTAAGGCACTTTTTCGAATGAGTCTGTTTTAATGAAACTAATTTTTTAATATTTCTAATTATAAATAAGGTCTTCTGATTTCTATAGTTGTGTGTTAGTGCTATTCAACAGCGTATACTTTTTTGGATAGTAGCGGAGGTAAATTTCCAAGTGTAAAAGTAAGTTAGGATCTATTATTATACTTTAAATTATTATGCCAGCGTTAAATAATTTGTTGAGATACGCCCGAAGCGTGAGGTTGAAGTCTTAATTGTGTAGTAAAAAGGACCGTATCAATTATAAAATTAGAAGCTAGTTTTCTCTGTAGCCGGCGTGATTTTCTGCGGCTAGACTAAAAGTTGGTTTGCCTTAGCAGCACCGATTGTACGAATTATTATGCAGGTTATTTATTACACGATGTCATTTCTTCATCGCTTAAGAAGCACATTCACTCACATAATCTAAGTTAGAGACGCTATAGTTGGAGCTCATCGATTGTAGTACCATCAGTCCAGGGTGGAACGCAGTGTCAGAATGAGCACCATTAAGCCTTAATTCTCATTGAGCTTTAGCCGGCTTCTAATGAAGATTTTGAACATATTCATTGAAGATCTGATTAGTGTTTCATCAATATATCTCTATCTATCTCTATCTCTTTAATTTGAACATGTAGAATTAAGTGATAATTATAAAATGCGCTGCTATTAAATTAAGCTTAGTGGTTTGATTAAAAGTTCACGATTAATAGTTTTAACAGTCTTAAGTTATATAAGATTTTGCTGTCAAAAATGTATGTATTGAATTGTAATAATACTCATAAATTGTTGACAATATTTTATGTCCCAACCATGCTGTCAAGCTTAAGCACGTGTATGGTATGATTTAAAGATTACTCATAATTTCTTTTAAAGGTTGCTATGAAAAAAAATAAAAAAAAACGATTAGATTTACTGTTTTTCGAACACAAACATTTTTGAACACATGGATTATATATAGTTTGTTTTGCAATTTGTGACAATCACTCTGCATTTAGCTTTAAAAAGGATTTGTAGTGAAATAAAACATTTTGAAAACTGATTAGTTTGTATCTTTTGACGATAACATGATTGAATCAATTGAGTTTTAAATGTAAACTACTTTTTCTTATGACAACTTGAATGCAATCATCATTTATTTATGTTACGTACCACCACCCTGCTTATTTCAGCCGTGAAGCAATAATGCGTTCCAGTTTGAAGGGCTTGGCAGATGTACTATAGATACTGATACTTAGAATTCATATCAGAAGGTGGGTAGTGGCATTTAGGTTGTTGACGTATTTAAGTAAAAATCCGAATCAGTTCGAATCATGCAGACAAGAACAATTTTTCAGCAGAAAAATTGTTCCTTTTTTCAGGATTCGAACACCGGACATTCGCATCGCTCAATACGAATGCAGCGGGCCTTATCCTTTAGACCACGACAACTTCAAATAAAAAAAAAATAAAAAAAAAAATCGCTAAATAAGGAAACGAATAAAAAAAGACGACCCATTTCATAAAACTTTTATTATTTAAACTCTATTAAACACCAACACTGATCAAAGATTTATTTAACATTAAAGAAGAAGAAAATCACACGATTTAGGAATGGTTACATAATTACGATTTATAATATTATGTAACTAGGTAACTTGGTGGGTAATTATTACCATTTTAAACAATAAATAGTTTTTTACGCGTAGAAAAAGAAATGGCAATTTTACTACCATTGTTTTTAGTTTTTTTATTATTGCACAGATGGGACAGTTTACGGCCCATCTGATATTCGTAGTTACTGTAGCCCGTGGTCATCACAATTATATGAGCAGAAACTTCTTCGCGCAAGAAACTGGCGAGTTAGTAGAACGGAACAATACTACATATTGCGTTGCTAGCATTATCGCTTCAGGAAATTTTATTTTATGACTTTGCGATTGCTTTTGTTAATCCCATAGATTTATGTACTTTTGTACAATTGTTAACGTCAGTAGAATCTTCAGAACTGTAACTTCTGGTTTTGAACAACGCTACTGGATTCGTTCATTATCAGGAACCGATAGAACATACCCTATTTGATATATTTGTGCATGATCACGATATAATTACCTTTTGAATACTACAAGTTCTCTGCCCCTCTTTATACAATGAGGGCGCTCAGTTATCGATTTTCACGATCACGGATTAAACTTATACAAATTTGCCTTTTTTATTTTCATGAGGAAATTATATTTGGAGCAAAAATTGCATTTAGAATAACTTTTTTTGTAATTTTCTAGAAAACACGTATTAAATAAAGTACGGTCAATTGAATTTGAGATAGTTCTCAATATTCAATTCGTATTGTGGAGGCAAACGATTCAAAACTAAATTCAACATAATTTACAAAATACGTGTAGTCTTAAAATCATGATGAAAAATAGGATTATTAGGCTTAATAGGACTCTTCTTCTTTTATAAATAATCATATTTCAAGCCTTTCCATGAAGGAGAAATTGTGAAAATACAACGCTTTTATTAATAACAATGCAATGGCTCGAGTCTTGTTACATTTCGTGTTCCAACAAAAATGCTTAATTTAATAGTGAATTTGGGGAGATATACGACAAAGGGAAGATCTTCCACCGAGCGGGTGATATGGCTCGGTAGACCGACGGTCCGAACGTTGTTGTGCGGAACTTGTATATATGCGCTTATCTTGAAAATGTCGTAAGCGAGATTCAGGCATCTGTCAATTATCTTGCGTTGTATGATGGCTACCCGCCACAGTAGACATAAAAAAAAAAAAAAAAAAAAACCGCCCCAGTGAAGTATTACAGTTAATTGTCATCATGTTTATAAAACTTCCGAAAACCTCACGAAATTCTATCGTGAACTAAATTCACGTAACACGTTAAATACGATGCTAGATTCTAACAAATTAATGACTAGCTGAGCTCCATTGAGCACTAAGGTAATGAACAAAACTTACACGGTAATGAACAAAAATTACACGGTAATGAACAAAACTTACATGGTAATTAACATCCTAATATGTAGCACTACATTTTAATTACCAAAGAATCAAAGAACAATAGGCGATTTGGAAAAGGCGAACGGTTAAGATTGCATAATTACGCCTGATGATATCAAATTTTTTTTTTGTATATTTAGCGTAAATTGAAGAATACCAATGTCGATGCTCTTCGATATTAGAGCAGTCTGTTTTATTTAGGACTGTGGTGCTCTGCAAATGAGAATGAGTTGCTTAATCGAAAAAATAGTGGTGTTAGCAACCGGTGTGTGCTCACACCACACCCTATCGAGCCTAGCCAGTTCTGTAAAGTCATAGTTATGAATACGAATACTGGGCATCGTGAATACATACTATAATGGTTGGCATTACGAAAGAAAAACTTATATCACGAAATAGTATTTATAATACATTATTAAACATATAAATTAATAAACACATTAAGCATATTATTATTATTATTATACATTTTAATCAAATATGTAATCAAATATATAATACATTATTGTACATATTTGATTAAAATTGGAATTAATTAGAAAATACTATTTTGTGAGATAAGTTTTTCTTTAGATTGGTAATTAAAAAATAGTGTTAAAATTATTATAAATTATTAACTAAATTAATTAATATTAAGCTTTACATTTTTGGAATAATTATTTACGTAATTAATGTAGGTAGTTTTCAAATTACCCTCGCAAGCACTGTAAATGATTAACTTTTGTAATTGTCAAAGATTAAGGACACCCGGAAATCCGATATATTTAACAACATTATTACATATATTATTATGAAAGCATTATATTGTAAATTTATTAATTCTAAAACAATAAAAAACAATAACAAATTGTATTTTCTGTAGCCAGATTCTATTCTTCTAACTTTTATTTATTAGTCTTGGATGAAACCATAAAAGTAACATACATATCTATGTCATTTTTATTTAAAAACTTTTACTATTTATTTCCATGATTTAATTACATCTGTTATTTTTATGGTTTCAATAGGTATGTAGGTTAGAAGAGTAAAATCTAAGTGAAAAAATCTTATTGTTTTACTTTACTAATTACAATACGTTAAATTAAATGCTAATAATAATAATAATTAATTCCTACACATTTCTTTAAAATGATATTTAGTTTCGATTATTACAAATACAAAAACTAAGCGAACGCTCTACGGCTCTACGTAATATTTTCATTACACACCTACAGTACACAACGACACATGTTAGAAATTTAATTACGATTTTATAACGTGTTTTTTCATTTAACTAAATAAATCTATGTTTGTTTGTAAAATATATGTTTCAAAATTCATCATGCTTAAAATAAAATTTCACATAATTTTTGCTGCTTTTGAGTATAATGCATCTAATAATTAAAATAATCACAAATAATACTAATCGATTTGATTTATTAAATGCGACCGAACAAAACCTTACTAAGTAACGATTAAATTTGATAAGGATACATAAGATTTCGTATTAATAAGAATATATGTGAAGCTAAATAAGTTGGGGGCAATTCGTTTCACAATGGACAATGCTCTACATACATTCGACTTAAAATAATTTGTGTATCGCTACACATTTATGAGTAACAACGAATTTCTAAAGTGCATATAAATTAATATCCTGGAGGATGTTTAGGCGGTCTCCCTGCTCTTCCCCTCCGATTTAATGGCGTGGGCCAACCATAACGCTAGAATTATGCCGGCCACCTGAAAGCGAACATCAAATAAGCAATAGACTCCATTATTAATTAGCGCCAGATGGTCAGATCTGTTTAAGAAAGCGGTCGGTGGTAATCTATACTATGCGATCCATACCACCCATGATCGAACACTATGGAGGAGGGTGTGGTCGCGATTCTTGACAGTGAGAGAACGATGAAGAAGAAGATTACCTAATAATTGTTAATCATGCGAGAATTGGTATGATAAAGAGGCTCGGAATGAATGCGTGACCTAGTTTTTAAGCTCTTTATGGGCAGGAGTGTCAACTATAATTAAAATTAAAACAAAAAATGTAAATAAGAATCTCTGCCTTTGTTGTTTACTAGATACGATAAAAAAAACTGTTAATCGTCTAGTTGAATATGTAGGTACCACCGATGCCTCCAAATTGCCACTAATGCCAAGGACGTTACCAATTCCAGGGGCAGAGCCAAGCCGCTGCCTACAATTAAGTACTCTCAACAAGCCTCGTTTGAAGAAGGACATGTCATAACGCTCGGGAAACACCGTAGAGATGAGTTCATTACAAATCCGGATGGTACGTGGCAAAACTTCTCTATCTTCTTGTTAGGGCAGATGTTAGCAAGATCTCCCAGATTATGCCCCATAAGCTCGCATACTCGCCCGTTGAACTAGCATAACCTCTCGCAGTTACTAGCAATATGTAAGCAACATGAACTTTATTTGTGGTTTAAAGTTCTTTCATGTCTCATGTCTGGTCTATACAGCTTTTAATTTCCGATGATCAATATAAAATTTTCAATGCAGTTCATGAGGCCTAATTGACTCTGGTAAGCGCTGTTTAGATAGGATACATTTTTGTTTAAATGAGACTAAAATTAAATAATTATACCGAAACCCGTTTAAATAGGATATAACTAGCAATTTATCTTTTTTTATGCTGTCGTTACCGGTCACAATATAGGAGCGAAGTTATAAAATGATTGCATCGTCATCGGTGATGTGTGTGCAAATTTTCAATTTATTTTTATTTATTTTACCTACCTACGCTGATAGCCTTGAGAGCTTATATCAGGGTTACCCTAGCGTGTAGGTGAGCTCTCGGGACTCAAAACGAAAGTGTTGCTAATACTGGCCCCTAGCAAGAGCAGTGCTTCGCAGAATCTACTACCGGATCGGGACCCACTGAGAAGATCCGGCGAAAAACTCAATGGGCTTTCAAGCTAATCGAACGTCCTGTGTTCTGAGGACAGCTTCCCTTCGTTTTCCGCTAGGGGCGCTGTTCCAATTCCATACAAATTAGAGTTAACTTTTACGCGATCGAGAAGTTAAAACACTCGCACTAAGCACACTGAATTAGATGCAAATCACAATAACGGATCTTGTAGAAGCTGTAGTAGTAGTGCTACTTCTAACTGTATTGGGTAGGCGCTGACACGAAGGATCGTTTACACAGTGAATATGAATATGTACTGCTTTGAATAGTTTATTGAATGGTGGAATGAAAAAGAACGAGCATGAAGGAGTAGGACATGAACGGTGGGTAACACAGCGAATATCGATATATACTGCCCTCAGTTTTTCGAGATTGCCGAAGTGTTGAACAACAATAATGGATGATGGCCTAAATTCATAAGCGACAGCGATTTTGTCGAACTGTAAGGCGGTTGCCCAAGTAGTGGCGGGTAAGTATGTCGCCACAATCTCGTTACATACAAAACCAGGCTAATAGAGGCGTGTTGAAAACACAAATCTCGCCCTCGGATCACCTACCAGGGTGGCATAAAACGGTCAGCCTAGATCTATTTACTAGATATCACAGCAATAAATATTAGAATCTGACCTCCACCTTGTGCGGTTCTATCTAGATTAGGCTGGAAAAATCGACCGGTTCCGTGACCAAGAAACGTTAAATGTACCAATGATTCGCACTAAGAAAGGAAAGCTTGTTTCTTCGCGTTTTTCATGTTTAATGTAAAGTCTGTGACCGCTTTCGTGAGTTTAATCTGTGATATGGCACGTAAAGAATCTTTAACCCTAAATGTAAATAGGACGATAGTTTAGATTAAAAAGAACCCTAGGACTAGCTTAGTCACGAAATAACATTAAATAGTACTTACATATTATTATAAATAAAAGGAAAATTGATAAAAGCAATTGTACAATGGCATACATTTATCACTAGAGTGCTCGCTCAGTTGTTGATAATCCATTATTATCACTGACAACTCAAGATTTAGATTAATTTTTCATTGTCTTTTAAGGTTGAATCTTTTTTTTTTATTGATTATATGAGTGTACGAGCTCACAGCCCAACTAGTATTAAGTGGTTACTAAAGCCCACAGATATCTACAACGTAAATGCGCCATCCACCTTGAAGTATAAGTTCTAAGGTCTCAGGTATAGTAACAATGGCTGCCCCTCAAACCGAAACACATTACTGCTTCACGGCAGAAATAGGCAGGGTGGTGGTATCTACCCGTGCGGACTCATAAGAGGTCCTACCATCAGTAATTACACAAATTATAAATTTGCGGGTTTGATTTTTATTACACAATGCTATTCCTTCACCGTGGAAGTCAATCGTGAACATTTGTTGAGTACGTATTTCATTAGAAAAATTGGTACCCGCCTGGGATTCGAACACCGGTGTATCGCTCAATACAAATGCACCGAATGTCTTATACTTTAGGCCACGACGACTTCAAATCATGCTTTGGTGCAGAAATTTGACGGATTGTAATATTAAAAAAAACCTTACACAAAGCATCCACACGTCATTGTGGTATTTAAGTGTTTAGTGATAAAGTTTATTATTTTTAGTATTCCAATTAAAAACATAATGAGTTCACTCATAATCGATTTTACTATAATTTTTGTATCGGAGGCGCTAAATGTAAACGATTATTGAGGTAAACTACAAATTAACTCCAAAAATTGGTTCAACAACAAAAAAAAAAATATTTCCCATGTAGGCAGACGAGCATACGGTCCACCTGATGGTGAGTGGTTACCGTCGCTCATGGACATCAGCAATTCTAAGGACAGAGCCAAGTCACTGCCTACCGCTTAACTTACTTCTGTAATTGTATTTGTCCGGCGGCAAAGAGAGCGACGGATTCAACTCCAAATTTAGCACCAAATTACAACATTTTAATCGTAATTGACCCTAAATTTTATTTATTTACTCTATTTACTCAACCACCACCCACCTACCACTATTTACTCTGCACTACCTTTGGTTGACTGGTAGAGAATGCCTTAGGCATTAAATCCGCCAATGTAAATTTTACATGAAGTGTAAAAAATAAATTTATTACTGGTGGTAGGACCTCTTGTGAGTCCGCACGGGTAGGTACCACCGCCCCGCCTATTTCTGCCGTGAAGCAATAATGCGTTTCGATTTGAAGGGTGGGGCAGCCGTTGTAACTATACTGAGATCTTAGAACTTATATCTCAAGGTGTGTGGCGCATTTACGTTGTAGATGTCTATGGGCTCCGAGAGCGACGGATGCAACTCCAAATTTAACACAAAATTACAACATTTTAATCCTAATTGACCCTAAATTTTATTTATTTACTCTATTTACTCAACCACCACCCACCTACCACTATTTACTCTGCACTACCTTTGGTTGACTGGTAGAGAATGCCTTAGGCATTAAGTCCGCCAATGTAAATTTTACATGAAGTGTAATAAATAAATAAATTTTGTAAACGATTTTAATGATAAATTTTTTTTTTATTTTTTTTTTTATTGCTTAGATGGGTGGACGAGCTCACAGCCCACCTGGTGTTAAGTGGTTACTGGAGCCCATAGACATCTACAACGTAAATGCGCCACCCACCATGAGATATAAGTTCTAAGGTCTCAGTATAGTTACAACGGCTACCCCACCCTTCGAACCGAAACGCATTACTGCTTCACGGCGGAAATAGGCGGGGNTTTGAAGTTGGCAATATTTTTCCCGCAAAAATAAAATTCTTGTTTTTTTCAATAGAGTTACTTTTTTTAAACTACTTATTGTAAACTGTAGTGGCGCTTATTTGGAAGAAAGTAAATGCATATTTATTTATGACAAAATTAATGCACTAAGTATTTTTTCTCTAATCTATTGTCCGCTTTGGGCCTGAAATGGGCCGTCCCCTTTCGTATTAATAAGAATATATGAGAAGCTAAACAAGTTTGGGGGCAATTCGTTTGATAATGGGTAACGCTCTACATACATTCGACTTAAAATTATAATTTGTGTATCGCTATCTTGTTCACATAATTTATGAGTAACAACGAATTTCTAAAGTGCATATAAATTAGTATCCTGGAGGATGTTTAGGCGGTCTCCCTGCTCTTCCCCTCCGATTTAATGGCGTGGGCCAACCATAACGCTAGAATTATGCCGGCCACCTGAAAGTGAATATCAAATAAGCAATAGACTCCATTATTAATTAGCGCCAGATGGTCAGATCTGTTTAAGAAAGCGGTCGGTGGTAATCTATACCATGCGATCCATGCCGCCCATGATCGAACACTATGGAGGAGGGTCATATGTGGTCGCGATCCTCGGCATTGAGGGAACGATGAAGAAGAAGATTACCTAATAACTGTTAATCATGCGAGAACTGGTATGATAAAGAGGCTCGGAATGAATGCGTGACCTAGTTTTTAAGCCCCTTATGGGCAGGAGTGTCAACTATAATTAAAATTAAAACAAAAAATGTAAATAAGAATCTGTAGCTTTGTTGTTTGCTAGAGGTACGATAAAATGAAAAAATACTGTTATGTAGGTTCCACCGATGCCTCCAAATTGCCACCAATGCCAAAGACGTCACCAATTCCAGGAACAGAGGCAAGCCGCTGCCTACCATCAAGTACTTTCAACAAGCCTCGTTTGAAGAAGCACATGTCATAGCGTTCGGGAAACACCCTAGAGGGGAGTTCAATACAAATCCGGATGGTACGTGGCGAAACTTCTCTCTCTTCTTGCTAGGGCAGATGTTAGCAAGATCTCCCAGATTATGCCCCATAAGCTCGCATACTCGCCCGTTGAGTTAGCATAACCTCTTGAAGTTACTAGCAACATGAACTTTATTTGTGGTTTAAAGTTCTTTCATGTCTCATGTCTGGTCTATACAGCTTATAATTTCCGATGATCAATATAAAATTTTCAATGCAGTTCATGAGGCCTAATTGACTCTGGTAAGCGCTGTTTAGATAGGATACATTTTTGTTTAAATGAGACTAAAATTAAATAATTATACCGAAACCCGTTTAAATAGGATGCAACTAGCAATTTATCTTTTTTTTATGTTGTCGTTACCGGTCACGATATAGGAGCGAAGTTATAAAATGATTGCAACGTCATCGGTTCGTCAGGTGTGGGCAAATTATCAATTTATTTTTATTTATTTTTCCTATCTACACTGATAGCCTTGAGAAGCTACATCAGTGTTACCCTAGCGTGAAGGTGAGCTCTCGGGGCTCAAAGCGAAGGTGTTGCTAACACTGGCCCTAGCAAGAGCAGTGCTTCGCAGAATCAACTACCGGATCGGGACCCACTGAGAAGATCCGGCGAAAAACTCAATAGGCTTTCAAGCTAATCGAACGTCCTGTGTTCTGAGGACAGCTCCCCTTCGTTTTCCGCTAGGGGCGCTGTTCCAATTCCATACAAATTAGAGTTAACTTTTACGTGATCGAGAAGTTAAAACACTCGCACCAAGCACACTGAAGTCGATGCAAATCCCAATAATACATCTTGTAGAAGCTGTAGTAGTAGTGCTGCTTCTAACTGTATTGGGTAGGCGCTGACACGAAGGATGGTTTACACAGTGAATATGAATATGTACTGCTTTGAATAGTTTATCTATAAATATAAACATGAATTGCTGTTCGTTAGTCTCGCTAAAACTCGAGAACGGCTGGACCGATTTGGCTAATTTTGGTCTTGAATTATTTGTGGAAGTCCAGAGAAGGTTTAAAAGGTAGATAAATATGAAAAAGCTCGGAATTATATAAAAATAATAATTTTGTTTTTCGTTTGATGTGTCCCCCGTCGCCGCGTCGGACGGATTCCTTTTGTTTGTTTTAAGTTTATTTTATACAAAAGTTTATTATTTATCGAGTTTTTCATTTAGTCTTTTATTTATCGACTGAGGCACTACGAAGTCTGCCGGGTCAGCTAGTTGAAGATAAAATACTATAATTATACATAAACAAACTATAACACAAGTGGTATGAAAAAGAACGAACATGTAGGAGTAGTAAAGGCACTGACACGAAAGGTAGGTAACACAGCGAATATCGATATGTACTGCCCTTAGTTTTTCGAGGTTGCCGAAGTGTTGAACAACAATAATTGATGCTGGCCTAAGTTCATAAACGACAGCGATTTTGTCGAACTGTAAGGCGGTTGCCCAAGTAGTGGCGGGTAAGTGAGTCGCCACAATCTCGTTACATACAAAACCAGGTCAATAGAGGCGTGTTGAAAACACAAATCTCGCCCTCGGATCACGTACCAGGGTGGAATAAAACGGTCAGCCTAGATCTATTTCCTAGATATCAGAGCAATAAACATTAGAATCTGACCTCCACCTTGTGCGATTCTATCTAGATTAGGCTGGAAAAATCGACCGGTTCCGTGACCAAGAAACGTTAAATTTACCAATGATTCGCATTAAGAAAGGAAAGCCTGTTCCTTCGAGTTTTCCATGTTTAATGTAAAGTCTGTGACCGCTTTCGTGAGTTTAATCTGTGATATGGCACGTAAAGAATCTTTAACCCTAAATGTAAATAGGACGATAGTTTAGATTAAAAAGAACCCTAGGACTAGCTTAGTCACGAAATAACATTAAATAGGATCTACATATAAAAGGAAAATTGATAAAAGCAATTGTACAATGGCATACATTTATCACACGAGTGTTCGCTCAGTTGTTGATAACCCATTATTATCACTGACTACTCAAGATTTAGATTTTTGATTGTCTTTTAAGGTTGAATCATTTTGTTTTTATTGATTATATGGGTGGACGAGCTCACAGCCCAACTAGTATTACTTAAGTGGTTACTAAAGCCCACAGATATCTACAACGTAAATGCGCCATCCACCTTGAAGTATAAGTTCTAAGGTCTCAGGTATAGTAACAATGGCTGCCCCTCAAACCGAAACACATTACTGCTTCACGGCAGAAATAGGCAGGGTGGTGGTATCTATCCGTGCGGACTCATAAGAGGTCCTACCATCAGTAATTACACAAATTATAATTTTGCGGGTTTGATTTTTATTACACGATGTTATTCTTTCACCGTGGAAGTCAATCGTGAACATTTGTTGAGTACATATTTCATTAGAAAAATGGGTATTCGCCTGGAATTCGAACACCGGTGCATCGCTTCAACACGAATGCACCGGACGTCTTATCCTTTAGGCCACGACGACTTCAATAAATCATGACTGCTTCGGTGCAGTTTTAAGGGTTTATATAAAAAAAGAACCTTACTTATTTATTTACTCTATTTACTCACCCACCTACCACTATTTACTGTACACTACCTTTGGTTAACCGGTAGAGAATGCCTTAGTTAGAAGTGTAATACTGGTGGTCCTACTGGTGGTAGGACCTCTTGGGAGTCCGCACGGGTAGGTACCACCACCCCGCCTATTTCCGCCGTGAAGCAGTAATGCGTTTCGGTTCGAAGGGTGGAGCAGCCGTTGTAACTATACTGAGATCTTAGAACTTATATCTCAAGGTGTGTGGCGCATTTACGCTGTAGATGTCTATGGGCTCCAGTAACCACTTAACACCAGGTGGGCTGTGAGCTCGTCCACACATCTAAGCAATAAAAAAAAAATTGTAAACGATTTTAATGATAAAAAACAACAAAATGTTTTTCATCGCAAATTCAGTGTTCGTTGGATCACGGGTTTTCATTGTCGCTTTCTTTCAGCCGCCGGGCGTTAGTAAGCTCAGTAATTTAGAACGAATAGCATTCACGCGCGTTCGTATACAATATCTCTACGCACGCATAGTGTTTATAGCGTCGGCAAATTAGCCAGTGCCGAGAATAAACTGTTATTTGCGTTGGAAGTGTGGTGTTTCGTAAATAATAGGATTGACGGGCAAGTGATTGCCGCTAGGGACGTCCGGAGATAGCATTAAATTCAGACGTTATTAAATAGTCTGTTTTTGCAAATTGAGCTTTAAGTCTTTGTTGCTTAACTGGAAAATTAGTTGTAATGGATACGCGTTCTATGTTCTATGGGTTTCCAATTTTTTACTGTCATTTATTTGAAAACATCCTTAGCATCGCTGTTATTTAAACTATAAACGAAAGCATCTCATTTTTTATTTATTTGAAAAGGACCCTGACTTAAATGTTTATATTAATAAGAATCAAATACGGCTTGAAATAAGTTTCAATTTAGATTATTTGAAATTTATAAAATTATACTTAAAGACAAAGCAGAAATGAGTGCCTTCATCCAAATTCCGAACCCGAAAATCTTTGATAAAGAAACCCTGAATATATCCATGGTCAGTGATTAACCACTAGATCTTTGAGATATGAGGTCGTCGTCAATTGTGTTATACAAATATGTAGGAAGATGCTAGTACTCACCTATGCGGGGTCGCAATTCGCCCTCTATTTCAACCAAATAGTGGTCTACATCAAACTAACACTACATCTCACCTCCAAGAAACAGAACAGTATCCCGCACACGATGACGGTCATGCCGGCGCTGTGGACCGTGGACAGCACTTTGTCCTCGCACCCCTCCTTATAGTACTTCTCGAGGGAGAGGCAGTCTGATCGCTTGATCTCCACGGCGCGGTCGGAGTCGTCTGGGGGGCAGCAGCTGAACGAGGGGTTGAGGCGCGGCTCCGAGGCGCCGTAGTTGTCAGGTCCGGTCACTCCGCAGCACTCCAGCTGAGCCACAGTATCATTCAGAACGGGAGCTCCAGTAGCAATTAGTAATTAAAAAATTATTTTTTTTTGGGACGAAGTTCCTTATTGGACGATGCGGAATGGTACCCTAACCGGGAAAAAACGTCCGTAACGTAAGATTTTTATAAGTAATGCACACAGTGTACAAAGAATAACACATTTTTTTATCATTCATTGACCACGATCTCAGAACGTTCGTTTGCGCAATACACTAACTCTTATGCAAACAACCGTGAATGAAGTGTACCACGATAAGTTCGCAGATTGTGATATTTATGTAACATCATGCGGCCCGTGAGCCTCTACCTATGTGACCTAATAGAGCGACAAGAAAACATTGTTTTTTTTTCTTTCACAAAAACACTCACGTTGTTTTGAATTTTATCCCAGAATTCCCTGTAAGTGGAATCTTCTTCTTTAGTGGACTTGTTCTTAATGAAGGACGCTCGCAGTTGAGTTTTCATGGTGCCTTCGATCTGTGGACGGAGAGCAGCCGCAGCAATGCCGACCGACAGTTCCAGGAGTATGATGATGATCAGGCATCCAGCAAACTGGAAACGTCGTTAACCTTTCAGGACAGTGATTCTCAAAGCTATCATTAAAAAAATTCATTTGCATTAGTTAATGATGAAATTAAAAAAACAAGAGTTTTATATACGAGAAATGAATCACTTTTCCCTAACAAGCCGTTGAGTTGTTTTGGATCCATTCCACACACATTATAACACACAACTAAATTATAATTACCGATAATCTTGAACAATATTTTGTAAGTGGACCGTCGAAGTTACAGATTTCCTATTTTTTTTAAATGAAAAAATTTCAAAGTTTATGTACCTTTTTTATGAATTCAGAGTGAAATCATACGAACTAATTTTTACGGCTTCGGATCAAAAAAAAAAAAAACGGCACTAACACACCTAAAATACAGAAAGTTGACAGGTAATTCGAAAAGAAAGAAATAGAACGAGGGCGGAAGTTTTTTTTTTATTGCCCTAGTAAGCAGAAGAGCGTATGGCCCACCTGATGGTGAGTTGTTACCATCGCCCATGGACTTCAGCAATGCCAGGGCCATAGCTAAGCCGCTGCCTACCGGTGACGTGACGTTGGACGTGACTGGCGGCAGTGAGTATTATCAATGCCTTTCTAAAAGACGTACACGAACCAGACAACAAGAAAGGATTCAACGAGTCAATATAAAAAAGCTCTAACTTTCCCTCTGCGGCCATTTCGGGGATGCAGAGGTTATCGGACTTACTGCCCCAGTGACTGGACCAATGGAGGGTCGCGGTCAACGTGGGAAAGACCGCGGCTATTCTCTTCGGTCCGGTCCACACAACAGTCGTCTCGGGACAGCTCAGTCTCCGTGACGCTAATATCGACTTTAGATCCAGCGTCCGGTACTTGGGGGTCGAAATCGATCGGAGTTTGAGAATGATCGCCCACGCCAATTCGGCGTTGGCGGCCGCTCGCTACGCGAGGTTCCTCGGCATTTATAAGACGTATGTCCGTTCCCGTATCACGTACGCGGCTGCGGCCTGGTATCGCCTCATCTCGCGAACCATGCGGGAGAGGCTACAAGCCTAGCAAAATCTGGCTCTTCGCACGATAGTAAGAGCAGGGCGTTACGTCAGAAATTACGTAATCGCCCGGGATCTGGATGTGGATTCGCTCGAGGAGTTCATCCGGAGGCTAGCTCGTAACCTTTACGAGCGGGCTGACGGTGGACCCTACGAGCATCTCCACAATATAGCTCCCTTGCACGCCAGATCACCTGATGGTCGTGCGCTACCAAGGAAGCTAGTAGAACCCCCTGCTATGATAAGATAGTCGGCTTAATCGGACTGACATGGGAGTGCTCATAATGAGTGCCCCCATGGGATTGAGCTGTCCTCACTCGTCATTCTCCCCACATTGTTGGGGTGCCCTCTTATGGAGACCCATTTCACCACCCCCGACGGTGGACGATTCCCCCGTTTGGGGAGCGTTTGTAATGTCGGTCCCTCCCCGTTTTGGTTTTCCTCTTCTGGGGAGCCCAGAGCGGGCGGGCTGTCCCCTGATCAAGCCCATCGTATTATATATATGTATATATAGATGTACAGTGCAGCCAGATACGCTGCACTACCCCTCTCAATTCCTCCCTGCATCAGCTCGCCTCTGCCTTTCATGGCAGGAAGCTTCAGCCGGGGCAGTGGGGTTTGCCCCGAGGCCCGTTCCGTGCCCCCGCAAGGGGGTACGACGACCCCTCCAAAACGTCCTTGGTGCAACGTTATTTTAATGATTTTTAAAAAGGCTTCGTGAATATTTAATGAGATACAGCCTGTACGTGATCGCCAGAGTGAGTTAGTACAGATATCAATATAGAATTAAGTAAGCTGAATAGATTTAGGTAATACAGACGCATTGAAACTACAGCACATATTTTATTATATTCATAACGAATACAAATTTTATTTTTCGTATTCTCCATAGAGCTTATAGAAAAGATCCCAGAAGGCTATCCGTTGGTGGAAGGGCCTGCCTCTGAGCTGCAGGTCGGTGTCGATGTCCAGATACGGCCGCTTGTTACCTTCTACTGTCGACCACACGACCGGCAGCAGGTCCGTCGGCTCAGGGGTGGGGTTGCTGGAACATGGGAAGGTATCAAATGACATCTATACACATTGTAAGGAACTCAGGTTGTTTTCATTTAAAGTTCCATTACTCAAATTGTTTATTGGCACATATGTATGTACGTATATGCTGAACATACCCGTATTTAGCAAAATTAGCCCAAAGAGTAGTGATCCTGTCGATGATCAGTTGGTCCTCCTCGGCGATGTGTTGTCCCGGGACCGCATCCACGGCCAGCAGGTAGCCGAGCTCGTCTGCGTGCGCAACGCCCGCCGCCGTTATGCCAAGGTACTCCTTCATGGCATTTCTGCCTCCGTCGTACGAGAACACGTAGTAATATATTTCCTTATTACCGTCAGCCAATGACTTCATAATGGACCGTTCGACGGGGTAACCATAATAATAATCTGATGCAAAAGTTATAAATTCATCGAACAACTCCTCAGTCAGGGTCTCGTCTCCGATGTAGAAATGTCTCACGTCTTCTTCCATGTCAGCATCGGTCAAGTTGAAAGCCAATTTTAGGAAGGACTTAAATCCTGACACTTCGTACTGTTCCGGAACTAATGAAGCATGCAAAGTCAAATATTCTTTGCTATTCACTCCATAAATCACGGGGATGTTTTTAATCTTTAAATTTTGTGGAGAAACAGAGAGGTAACTGTGAATTCCGTCAAATTCGTTTTCTACGCAAGCTCTGTATGCGCTACCGCTAAATACAGTAGAACCCTCGGAAGTACTAGCCGCCACCACAAGTTGCGGGTCTTGATCGGCCAGAAACGATATCGCCGCTACGAAGTCCTCAGTTTCGAATCCCAACCGGCTCGCTATTTGTATTGGTACACTATTGTCAGGCTTATTGATGATCCCAGGCTTAAAAATGGAGCCACTCTGCACAATCACCTGATTGAACAGTTTATCTTGGTCGGTCAGTAGGTGCAACTCGACTGCTTGGCCCCCAGCACTCTCTCCGAATATGGTTATTTTAGAGGCATCTCCGCTGAATGCCTCGATATTTTCTTTAATCCACTTCAATGCAAGAACTTGGTCCTTCAAACCCTGGTTGCCGGGAACCTCGGGACTGTCCAAGCATAAGAACCCGTAGGGTCCGAGTCGGTAGTTGACCGATACGACAATGACGTCATGTCGGACCAGGTCGTCGTAGGAGTAGTCTCTGCTTGTCCCGCTGCCGGTAGTGAAGCCTCCTCCGTGGATCCAAACCATCACGGGGCGCTTGTTGCGCGATGTAGCCGTATTTGGAACATAAACGTTCAGGTTCAAGCACTGGAGACTACCAATTCCGACTTTAGTAACTTTAACAACTTGAGGACAAACTACAGAATCATCGTACGCTTCGAATGTCTCTTCGAAGACAGGGTGTGGTACTGATGGCTGAAAGGTAACATGTGTTTATTCAAGATTGAAAATTCAATTATATATCACTTCGACAATTTTATCATTAGCATCTAAGGTCGAGGAAGAGTACAATGACATGTTAATTTTATTAACGATTTTTATCTTTAGCATTGAATTTTGGTACTCGATCACACAGTTATGTAACTAAATGTTTATTTCATTCCATTATTCCAAATTCCCAAACTAATAAAAACTGTTTACATAAAATTTATCTTTTGCAGTAAGTGCTCTTAATAAATTAATTCTAATTAACGAAAAAAATCAAACTCACCCCGAAAGGATTTTTCTCGTCGACTAGTGCGTACGGTATGCCCAGAAATTTCGAGAACTTTCCATTTTCGGACCTCAGTCCCCTGATGAGTCCCTGCTGAGTCTCAACAAGCGGGTCTATCCTCAACCAGGCACCCACTGCCGACAACAAGCCCAACAGAGCAACCGATCGCAGCATACTTGCACTAGCAATGCGCAGTTTGGACGCTGTCAGATATTTTATATAAGACCTGTATCTTAAAATGATAACGGATCGTCAATCTCCGTAATATCATATAAGTGTGACTTTGCATTATCCCACAGTTGCATCGTCTCTTATCTATGAATTATCGAGAGTTATTCAATGAAAAATTTGTTTCAATCATGAAAACTCGTTTTTTGGGCATATTAATGTTTATCTGCGAATTTCTCGGACATGATCATTAATTGTTATCATACTCGTATCGGCTTCATAGGTCGCCCAGAAATGTGCTCACATCTGTTTAATATATTAGATACACGGATAAATGATTGTCGTAATAATACTCACATTTAAAAACATTTGTACGCATTTGTACTTACCATAGTACAGGAGTCACCGATTAGTTTCGCTAGGGATTTATTTTAAGGAACGAGTCATTGCGGTAGGCACAATATTAAAAAAAAACATTATAAAAACAAACGTAATTACGGAAATAAGAAAGGTGAATTTTTTACATAGCAGTGAGAAAAATGTATTTTTTTTATTGCAGAATTTCTGTCTGAACTTTGGAGAAAAACTGGTGCAAGCTATTGACATTAAATCCTTTATATATATTTTAGATCTTTTAACTTTTCTTTTCTTTTACTTCAACCGCAAAATGCAAAAAAATATGTAAGTTGGTTTTTCCATTTGTTTGGTTTTTCATGGTTAATAGACTGTAATGATGTCCTTATGCGAGTTAAAAAGTGCTCAAAATTCTACGCTAAGGTGTCTCCCGGTAGGAATTGGAAGAAGAGGAGGACTTTGGTCTTCCTCTTCTCCCTCTTCTTCTCTGGAGGCACCGGAGTCCGACATAACCCGGTCTATTACCCCTCTCGGCCGGGTATCCGTAAATGGATTCCCCAGCGTTAAAAAGGTCAAAGACAAGATACGCCTCTCAAATTTTCAGGCGAGATATTTATCAGTGAATCGAGAATGTAATTTATCATTAATTAAGTTTATCTTCGAAAACACTGCTTCACAAATATATTATGTTGACCCAAACAAAGTAAAAAGTTTCAAAGCTAATTTTTGTAGTTCTGGGTATTTATTACCATACACAAACTTTATCCAGAACTATTAACTAGAAACTTAAGTACTGAAGTTTTTGTTGAAGCAAGTTGCCATGCTCTCGCAGTCCTCACCAAATTACTGGTGGTAGGACCCCTTGTGAGTCCGCACGGGTAGGCACCACCACCCTGCCTATTTCTGCCGTGAAGCAGTAATGCGTTTCGGTTTGAAGGGTGGGGCAGCCGTTGTAAGTTGTAACTATACTGAGATCTTGGAAACATATCTCACGGTGAGTGGTGGCAAGGTGTTGTAGATGTCCATGGGCTCCAGTAGCCACTTAACACCAGGTGGGCTGTGATCTCGTCCACCCATCAAAGCAATATAAAAAAAACACTATGAGGACTCTTTAGAATCCTATGAGTCCAGTAAGCGCACAATACCGAGACAACTAAAAACTTCGTATGTTCCAATTCCAGATACGATCGATCGACTTTTATATGATTTTGGGTTCTGTAGGTTCTGTAAAATATATTGGCGGTAGTCTGTATGCCATCCATGCCACCCATGATCGGACACTTTGGAGGAATGTCACATGTGGTCGCGAACCTCAGTAGTGAGGGAACGATATAGAAGAAGTCTACTCCTCCACAAACACTATCGTGTCTGAACATCCTGCCTATTTCTAAGAAAAAAAATTAACGGAATAGGCATATCCTTTTTAAATCTTTAAATAAATGTAAATGATAATTAAGATCCGAATCCCATACGTTACTGAGGTAAAATATTAAAATGAAGGCGCTCGTAATTTATTTATTTTTGTCATTAATTGGTAACAGATACTTTTTTGAAATTGGAAAATATGTATCCTATTGCTAATGTTAGCATAAATCTTCAAAATACAACGAATACTCACCGCAGCAGTATCAAAGCTCTGGAGACCAGACGGTCTTTGTCGATTTTTATACTCGGGTATAGTCGATTCACTTGATACGACTATTTTACCCGTTACGGAAGCCAATTGACAACTCTTCTTGTGCCGAGAGGTCATAGTTTCAAAGGCTTTGACCATCACTAATCTTCTAGTTTTATATGTATCTATTTTTAGTCAAAACAGTCACAACCGCGGAGATGAAGGATGAAGACTTACTAAACTTTAATTTCACCAAAATAACTTTGTGCATAGAACATATTTCTACTCACAATATAAAGTAGCTTGGTGCTTTCCTTCCAAGCTCCGAAACACCCAAAAGCAGCGACTAATATGATGAGAACTCCTACAGCAATGAGGACCGCGTCCGTCTCGTGGCCCGTGGTCTCCATACCAGCGAAGCCCTTGATTAATCCCATGTCCACACATGCTGCCGCTATGATTACCACGCCGAAGATCTGAAAAAGATTAATGTCTTTAATTGTGATTGCTCTCAATAATCGGCTTTATAATTATTAATTAGTAGATAGAAATAGGTCGCACATATAGATTTAGATTTTCATGCTGCCTTTAATGACAGAAGATCCAACTCTTAGGCTTACATATCTGCTGTGTCAGAGGTATAGCTAAGTCCCCATCTACAGCAGAGGACTCTTTCCAAACCTCATTTGAAGAAGAAGAACATGTCATATTGTTTTCGAAGCATTCCGCAGAAAAGCTTGAGAGGAGGATTGCAAATCGCAGACGTAATCTAGATTACTATGGATAAATGCAGGGATTCGAGATAGTAACAGTGTTTCCGTGAAAAATGGCGGTTAGTGCTATGATAATGAAAAATAAATGATAGTTTAAAAAATATATAAAATACGGTTTATATAAAATTCAACTAAAAAATAGAAAATACATTTTAATAAATTTAAATTGAAAATAGTGTATAAAAAGTATATATTTTATTGTAAAAAAAGCGTGGGGTGCTTTTTAAGATATTATTGAAATTATAATTCTTCTAGTCATCATATCTGTCAGAAAAATATTTATAACTAATAACACCATGCACCCCACGCTTTTTTTACAATAAAATATATTTTTTTTACACTATCATCAATCAAATCAATTTTAGTTAAAAAAAAATTGCAAATTGAATAATGGAATAATCTTATCAAATTAGTGTATTGTCATCGGTCCTCGATAAATCTACAAAGTTTGAATGAAATCTGGCCGTTTAAAGTGGGTCAAAATCGCGTCTAAAGGAGTCGGTTACAAACATACATTACAAGTGAAGCTAATATACAGCGTGTAAAAAAAAGATTATCGATAATTTTAAGTCACTTGAAATTCCCATTTGAATGTGCCACAATCGATTCATTGTAGACAAAAAAAAAATGGGTCATCGTGCCATAAAGCCACGCCCTCACGAATATAAACGAACGCTCTAAATCAAACGCGAAGACGTGTCGAAACTTTCTTTTATTATCCGCCGACGCTTCCGTGGGTGGTATTTACTGATTTGCGAAAGACATCGTGGGATTCTTTTAGTAACAAGCAGTTCAAGTACTTAAATGAAGTCGTCGTGGCCTAAAGGATAAGACGTCCGGTGCATTCGTATATAGCGATGCAACGATGTTCGAATCCCGCAGGCGGGTACCAATATTTCTAATGAAATACGTACTTAACAACTGTTCACGATTGACTTCCACGGTGAAGGAATAACATCGTGTAATAAAAATCAAACCCGCAAAAATTATAATTTGCGTAATTACTGGTGGTTGGACCTCTTGTGAGTACGCACGGGTAGGTACAACCGCCCCGCCTATTTCTGCCGTGAAGCAGTAATGCGTTTCGGTTTGAAGGGCGGGGCAGCCGTTGTAACTATACTTGAGACCTTAGAACTATATCTCAAGGTGTGTGGCGCATTTACGTTGTAGATGTCTATGGGTTCCAGTAACCACTTAACACCAGGTGGGCTGTGAGCTCGTCCACACATCTAGGCAATAAAAAAAAAAAACAATGATTGCTCTCACTCTGCGAAACATCGTGCCACATGGCGTCGCAACGCGAGAGCATCGATATCGCAGGTTCCGACTGATGCATGACCACGATCACTCTGTCAAGAGTGTACGAATAGGAAGAAGTTCAAGTACCTACGACTAACAATTGTATGTGCTTGCATTGTGATACGAGAAGCTTTTTCATAGTAAAAGCAGACAATATTGGTAAAAGCCCTTTTTTATTAAACCATATGGCTGGATGTCTTTGGTTAGCGTTAAGTAGATAATAAAAAAATGAACGAAAGCCGCGATATATCTTGAGACATTAGGTTTGATGTATGAGGATTGTCCCTGGCTGGAATGGACAGGATTCTGGTAGCCCATGAGGGCTCCAAAGACGCCCCGTCATCAGTAGTTACGTGGACTATATTGTGTTGAAAAGCGAAAAATAGTAGGGATGTCATAAAAAAATAGTATCTGCCAAAAGTGGGATTTGAACGCTGGAATAGTAATATCATGCGATTCGGATACACTGACTGGCCTTCTTATCTTTTCTTGACTTACTTAGTTTGATTGACTACCTACATATTTGTGAGTATATAGTTTCGATTAAGATTATCGCAACTCCAGTGGGGTTTAGGTCTGGCTTTCCCAGTTTGCAGTAACAATTTATACTCAATAAACAAGGCAGCCAAGGTAAAAATTTAGGCAAAACCTAAATTTACTATCAAGTTCAAAGGTTAGTCCAAAACTCATTTCTAATTTAGCTGGCCTTGCAAAATATTTAAAAAAAAATACTATACACCTCTATGTACAATATAGCATAAATAAACAAGAAATTCTAATTTAGCCAAGTTACATAATAATAGTTTTGTCCAAACCTTGAATTAATTCATTTTAACTAATTCCATTAGCAAATGAACTTATGATTTAGATACAGATCACTCCTTACTATGGCTCGGTCTAGTTTTTACAGTCGCTAGGCCATAATATTCTGTCATGTGGGTCGCTAGTGTGACATTGGACTGGTTAGTTTAACCACAATGGTGCGATGGTAAAATGACATCACACTAACAGAGCCTTTTTATTATATGTACCGTATTAGTGACGCAAGTAAGTAGATGACTCAATCATTTATTAGTCACAAATAAGAGAATGATTGTCGCCACCTGGAGAACTGGAGGATCTACCTGTAATTAAATTGGTTCCTCTTTTGGTTGTATTTTATGAAAGATGTTTTAAATTAGTGGTCTGGGTGTGTATGTTGAGATACTAGACGGTATTTTTACCGTATAAAATTGTGATTCCGTTCATAATTTACTTATCTTTCAAACGCTATTATTCCTTGTCATCTGATTCATGAATTAACTCGAGCATCGAATGAAGCGTTATGTTACAAATTCGAAAAAGTGATCAGTATAGCCACAGATAACCTCCGGTACTAAAGTCGCGGTTCTGAACCATATGGTGCTTAGATACTTTTCACATGTGGTGGCTGTTTTTTTTATATGAACAAATCACGCACGGTCTTCCGACCCCATATTAGGATTTCCTGTGTTATGGGAACCAGAGATGCATACAGTACCCGACGATAAATATTGCAAATCGACCTTTGGAAAGAGACAATCGGCTAATTTCGGTTCCGTAGAGCGCTATCTCTGTCGTACGAGCTCTTAACAGCTTGACCGCACACTACCGCACTTGAGCAACGACTGACAATTTTTTTTCCTACCTACACTGATAGCCTTGAGAGGATATTTCAGTTTCTCCTTGACGTGTAGGTGAGCTCACGAGGCGCAAACCGAGAGTGTTACTAACACTGGCCCTAGTAAGAACCGTGCTTCGCAGAATCTACCACCGGATCGGAAACGCGACCCACTGAGAAGAAAACTCAGTGGGCTGTGTCTGTGGGTTAATTTACTCGCCGAGCCCTTCGTCGCAAGCGACAGGTTAGACGAGAACAACGACCGGTGCTTGAGGTACCTAAAAGCACCGTTAGTGGATCGGGAGGATCCGAAATGACGTGTTTTGAGCTACGTCGACTGTTTATCTTTTCATGTAGATCTTGTCTTTCAAGGACCCAAATAGTCTAAAGTTGTAAATTGAAAACATCAAATCCTGTTTTTTATCTTTAGTAGTGAACTGAAAATCAATCTCCAGATAATGTTTTCATTGAACGAAACACCAAAGTACCTAATTGCCTAACAGTACGATTTTGACATTCAATTGAATTTGCTATTAATCTATTAAAAGAAGCACAAGTTGACCTAGAACCTAAGAACAAACGTTAAATGTATCTACATAATATATCTGTCATATAAACGTTCATCTCGTTCTTGAAGTAAATTGATCTAATTGTCGCAATCTAAAGTCTAAAGTGGGAATGATGGCTTCACATGATGTCACGATTCACTATGGATCTTCAGGTATATGGAAGATTGAAATTATCATTTTTAATTAATGAATAAAAAATGTGTATTTTCATATTTTTGGATGTTTGAAAATCTAAAGCTTAGTATAAATGTTTTTAATAATAAAATGCTAATTATAGAACCAAACGCGAATGACCTAAAAGAAACAGCCAAAGGAGGAACAGAGAAGTCCCTCCGAATGACACGTTGCACTGTATATATGAAGATATAGCCCAGGGAGTGGCTGATGTAAGACAGGGTCGTAAACTCATGCCAAATCCCTGTGCAGCATGATAGGAGAATATACTGCGCCAATTCCATATAATATAGTATAAGGATAAGAGATAGAAGAAGACATTTTCAATATCAAACTTGACAAGCTAATTAGGCGTTATGGTTGATACGAGAGTAACAGGGTATTGAAGGCTATTTATACATATTATTCTGAAAATAAAACAACTTATTTTGTTTCATTGCGTTCTTTTAGAGTTGCGGACTTATTAGAGCCCACTGAGTTTCTCACCGGATCTTCTAAATGGGTCGCTTTTCCGATCCGGTGGTAGATTCTGCGAAGCACTGCTGTTGCTAGGGCCAGTGTTAGCAACACTCCCGGTTAGAGCCCATACATTAGTGTGAAGCTGAAATAGCCTCTCAAGGCTATCAGCATAGGTAGGAAAGAAAAGTCGTAGTATGAAGTCGTCGTGGCCTAACGGATAAGACGTCCGGTGCATTCGTGTTGAGCGATGCAACGGTGTTCGTATCTCAGGCGGGTACCAATTTTTCTAATGAAATACGTACTCAACAAATGTTCACGATTGACTTCCACGGTGAAGGTTTTTTTATTTTTTTATTGCTTAGATGGGTGGACGAGCTCACAGCCCACCTGGTGTTAAGTGGTTACTGGAGCCCATAGACATCCACAACGTAAATGCGCCACCCACCTTGAGATATAAGTTCTAAGGTCTCAGGTATAGTTACAACGGCTGCCCCACCCTTCAAACCGAAACGCATTACTGCTTCACGGCAGAAATAGGCAGGGTGGTGGTACCCACCCGCGCG